ATACATACATATATTTTTCAAATCATATGTTTTTTTTTAATGATTGTCTACAGTTGTACTGATAAATATCTCCTGGAGCGTAAACTATATCTTGGCTGCAAGTATCAAACTGAGAAATCCTTCATTTTCTACAACTGATAGTGGTTGATCATTAATTATAATGAAGTTTAGCAACTTCTCAGGAAACATTTGAGCTCCGTGGTTTCAGCGGTGTGTTTTTCTTGTTCAGTCCGAAGCAGGCAGCCTGATTTCGGTCAGTTGCGTTCAGTCTGCTCCTCCCCCGAGACGGGCAGACTGAACGGGGCAGATTGGACGCGGCTGGCCGGGGTCGGGCTGCTTGCTACGGGTTCAGCGAGAGGAGCACCACGCTGAAGCCACGGAGCTCGAATGTCCAACGTAAAAGTAACTTTACCACTGTTTAATGTGGCGCTATGGCTCTGCAGACAGTGCATGTTGCTGTCTTGTTTTGTGGTGTTTAGTGTAAAATACTTCCACACAGCGACATGTTTAGATGAAAAGTTTGTTAGCTGTTAGCCACAGTGCTGCTAACTCAGTCATCACGTTGTAGCTGCTGCAAACTATGAACTGGATTTCCTGAATGTGAGGTGGGTCTTATTACTCTGAGTTCATGAGACACTCCGCCGTTCAGGAAATCCATTCCGTAGTTTGAAGCCAACATGCATCATGGATCAGAAATATCGGCAGGTTGGATTGGAAAAATCTGATACGTAAATTATGCTGGTATCGGAGGCAGATACCAGATCGGATCAGCCTCATCCCCACTAATCAGTAGGCTAAATGGAAAAAAGGCTTCAATTTGCTAGGGAGCATAAAGATTGGACTGTGGAGCAATGGAAGATGGTCATGTGGTCTGATGAGTCCAGATTGACCCTGTTCCAGAGTGATGGTTCATCAGGGTAAGAAGAGGAAGTGATGCACCCATCATGCCTAGTGTCTCGTCATCAATGTATGATCTTGGTGAAAAATTCATGCAACACTGGATGGAAATAGATCTTGTGACATTGAAGAAGCTTATTGAAACAATGACACAGAGAATGCATGATGTAATCAAAGCTCAAGGCGGTCCAACCAAATATTAGTGTGTGACCTTGTTTTTTGGCCAGGCAGTGTAGATTTGACTTATACGGTGAAGCGACATATTTATGGATTTTTCCACTTTATTAGACATATTTGGACTAATGTGACTTATAAGGCGGTGCGACGTGTACGGTGGAAAATACGGTAGTCACCAACTGGATATTCAAAAATAATTTAGTTGAAGCTGAAACAGAAGTTCTTTGGGAATCTTTGGGATTCGAGTTGTTTTAGGAAATCAGAAATCTGTTTTGGAACTTTTTTCAACTCAATAGTTAATTTGCTCATAGTCATTTTTAAAATTAAATCACAGGTAGAACTATTTATGTATTATTTCTTAAGTCAGACTGTTTGTGTAATTTGGAAAGCCTGATCATTCCAAAAGGTACAACTTTTTATTCTAAAACATTCTTGAGAGGAAGTAGAAATAGCTTATTTATTTGGGTCAGCATTGAAATGAAGAGCCCTTACCACCAGCGCAGTTGTCAGAGCTGTGTTACACATCACACAGACTTTTAACTTGTAATATTAATGAAAAAATAAAAACATGTTCATAAGTTCCTCACTATTATAAAAACATCACTCTTGAGTTGAGGTGAGGTATGAAGCTGAGTGAATAACATCAACAGTGTTGAGATTTTTTACATTTATTTTTATACAGTGAGGAAAATAAGTATTTGAACACCCTGCGACTTTGCAAGTTCTCCCACTTAGAAATCATGGAGGGGTCTGAAATGTTCATCTTAGCTGCATGTCCACTGTGAGAGACATCATCTAAAAAAAAAAAAATATGGAGATCACAATGTATGACTTTTTAATAATTTAATTGTGTGTTAATGCTGCAAATAAGTATTTGAACACCTGCCAATCAGCAACAGTTCTGGTCCTCAAAGACCTGTTAGTCCTCCTCTATAACGTCCACCTCCACTCCACTCATTATTCTAAATCAGAAGCACCTATTTGAGGTCGGTAGCTGCATAAAGACACCTGTCCACCCCACACAATCAGTAAGACTCCAACTACTAACATGGCTAAGACCAAAGAGCTGTCCAAAGACACCAGAGACTAAACTGTAGACGTCCACAAGGATGGAAAGAGCTAAGGGACAATTGCCAAGCAGCTTGGTGAAAAAAGATCAACTGTTGGATCAATTATTAGAAAATGGAAGAAGCTAAACATGACTGTCAATCTCTCTGGGACTGGGGCTCCATGCAAGATCTCACCTCGTGGCGTATCAATGATCCTAAGAAAGGTGAGGAATCAGCCCAGAACTACACGGAGGAGCTGGTCCATGACCTGAAGAGAGCTGGCACCACTGTTTCCATGGTTACTGTGGGTAATACACTAAGACGTCATAGTTTAAATCATGCATGGCACGGAAGGTTCCCCTGCTTAAACCAGCGCACGTCCAGGCCCGTCTGAAGTTTGACCATGACCATTTGGATGATCCAGAGGAGTCATGGGAGAAAGTTATGTGGTCAGATGAGACCAGAATAGAACTTTTTGGTCTTAATTTCACTCACCGTGTTTGGAGGACGAAGAATGATGAGCACCATCCTGAAAACACCATCCCTGCTGTGAAGCATGGGGGTGGATGCATCATGCTTTGGGGGTGTTTTTCTGTACATGGGACAGGACGACTGCACTGTATTAAGGAGAGGATGACGGGGGCCGTGTAGTGAGAGATGTTGGGGAACAACCTCCTTCCCTCAGTGAGAGCATTGAAGATGGGTCATGGCTGAGTCTTCCAACATGACAATGACCTGAAGCACACAGCCAGGAGAACCAAGGAGTGGCTCCGTAAGAAGCAGATCAAGTTTCTGGAGTGGCCTAGCCAGTCTCCAGACCTGAACCCTGTAGAAAATATTTGGAGGGAGCTCAAACTCTGTTTCTCAGTGACAGCCCAGAAACCTGGTTGATCTAGAGAAGATGTGTGGAGGAATGGTCCAACATCTCTGCTGCAGTGAACCTGGTGAAGAACTACAGGAAACCTTTGACCTCTGTAACTGCAAACAAAGATACTGTACCAAATATTAACATTGATTTTCAAAGGTGTTCAAATACTTATTTTCAGCAGTAACACACAAATAAATTATTAAAAAAATCATACATTGTGATTTCCATTTTTTTTTATTTAGATTCTGTCTCTCACAGTGGACATGCAACTAAGTTGAAAATTTCAGACACCTCCATGATTTCTATGTGGGAGAACTTTCAAAGTCGCAGGGTGTTCAAATACTTATTTTCCTGACTGTATATACTGTATATACATATTGTATTTTATTCAACATTTTACTACTTCTCTGCTGTATTTCTCTTTTCTTGTCTTGATAGTGCCAGAATTGTACAAAAATCAAATGAAATGATCCTTTCTTCACTGAATCAACTGACGTTGAGTTGTTCTTGTTAGCAGCTTCCGGCCCAGAGGATACAGGGGAAGGCAGATGTCTCTGGCAGTGAAGCACAGCAGAAAAAGTGAGTTCCTAAAGTACAGCTGAGTACTTAGAAACACCACGCTGATGAAGTTCTGCTGACGGCTGTTTTTTTTTTTTTTATTGTGGATAGACTAGGCTACACTTTCATAGCAATTAAAGCTAAAGAAATGATCTTTGGATGTGTGCGAGTGTGTTAAAACCTGCTGTATTAATGCATCATTTTTATTTATTTAGGCAAACCTCTGGAGAGGATTTTGATGTTTACCTCCAGAATGTTAAAGCCCAGTCAGAGGCCTTCAGGAGCAACAGTGAGTGACATATTTCATTGTAGTTCTCAGTACATTAACAGCTAGTTTTCTATTTGATATTTGCTTTGTCTGGACGACACAAGAGGATTTTCAGGTTTTGCAATGCAATAATTATCTGTCCATCAGCAGGACTTTCCTCTGACACAAATACAGTGACTCCCAACACAGAGTACAGCTGGGATTTCACCACAAAGACCCGCTCTACCAACGATGACGGCACCTCCCTGGATTTGGAGTGGGATGATGAGGAAGGTTAGTGGAACAGGAAGAGGGGTGCGGATTTGACTGACGGGCACACAGTGCATTTGAAAAGTATTCGCAGCACTTCACTTTTTCTACATTGTGTTATGCTACAGATTTATTCCAAATTATATTAAATTATTCTTTCCTCAAAATCCTACACATCCAACAAACCTTATGACAATCTGAAAAAATGTTTTTTGAGCTTTTTGCAAAGAAAACCAAGACATCACATTTGTGATTGTGTGTGGTTGTGTGTGAATGTTTGTGAATGTGTGTGGTTGTGTGTGAATGTGATTGTGTGTGAATGTGTGATTGTGTGTGATAATGTGTGATTGTGTGTGATTGTTTGTGATTGTGTGTGAATGTTTGTGAATGTGTGTGATTGTGTGTGAATGTGATTGTGTGTGAATGTGTGTGAATGTGTGTGATTGTGTGATTGTGTGTGAATGTGATTGTGTGTGATTGTGTGTGAATGTGTGTGATTGTGTGTGAATGTG